TGAAATTTTGTCTTCTTTCCTGCTTCCCTCTTCCTTCTGTATTGGTCCCGCTCTATGTAGAGAGACTGGTTGGCAATGACAGCCACAACTCCACGTTCATGCTCACGGTCTCACATGACTTACTTCCCTTTCTACGCTCTGAGGTTCCCGAAATGTTGTCTGTGGAAATGCACACCTAGAATGCCTGCAAGAATCTTGTAGAGGGAGGTGGCAGAAGCAGAGCTAAGGACCAAGAGACAGAGGAAGGCAGAGTGTGTATTGGCCAACACCACAGAGTAGAGACAGAGGGAGAGAAAGAGAAACACATGAGAGAAAGGCAAGCATTCATCACCTGGCATCAGCCTGCTGGATCCAGCTCTCTGCTGAGGACACCCTGTTCTAGAAAAATGAGCTGTCCATGAAAAACGGACCCTGTTTCTCATGTAACCACTGTAGCTATTCAGGAACCTCAGCTGGGGCTGCATTTCTAAACAAAGGGGGCAATTCTACCTGGATCCAGGTGGTCCATAGGAGAAACCTCTCCAAACCAGACACTTATCTCAGTGACAGTTGTGGCTGCTCCACTTCCAGCTGGGTAGCTGTTGCCTCGCATCGATCATGCGTCCAGGCTTGGTGCTCTTGTTCTCTTTCCATCGCATGATCGGAGTAGACTATTCCACGAGGAGTAACAGTAGTTCAAATTAGGGAGTCTAATTCAAATTACCTACTTCGTGCCGTGTGTAGCTGCGGGCACGGAGTCCGCACTAACGGGGATTTAAAAATGGCGGTGCCCGGCAAGATGCAAATGAAGCCCGGGATATTTAAATCCCGGGCTTCATTTGCAACTTCGAATGCCTACATTAGCCACCCTAGTTCGAACTAGGGTGGCAGTGTAGACATACCCATGGAGATTCCACAACCCGCCCCCCCGCCCCCAGGCAATTTATTCCAGTGTTTGACCAGCCTGACAGGCAGGAAGTTTTTCCTAATGTCCAACCTCAACCTCCCTGGCTGCAGTTTATGCCCATTGCTTCTTGTTCTATCCTTAGAGTCCAAGGAGAACAATTTTTCTCCCTCCTCCTTATGACAGCCTTTTAGATACTTGAAAATTGCTCTCATGTCCCCTCTCAGTCTTCTCTTTTCCAAACTAAACAAGCCCGGTTCTTTCAGTCTTTCCTCATAGCTCATGTTTTCTAGATCTTTAATCATTCTTGTTGCTCTTCTCTGCACCTTCTCCAATTTCTCCACATTGTTCCTGAAACGTGGTGCCCAGACACAATACTCCAATTGAGGCCTAATCAGAGCAGAGTAGAGCGGAAGAATGACTTTGTGTGTCTTGCTCACAACACTCCTGTTCATGCAGCCCAGAATCATGTTTGCTTTTTTTGCAACAGTGTTCCACCATTGACTCATATTTAGCTTGTGGTCCATTCTCACCCCTAGATCCCCTGGCTTGCACTGTCACTACACTAAGCACTATTGGGCTACGTCTACACTGGCATGATTTTCCGGAAATGCTTTTAACAGAAAAGTTTTCAGTTAAAAGCATTTTAGGAAAAGCACGTCTAGATTGGCAGGACGCTTTTCCGCAAAAGCACTTTTTGCGGAGAAGCGTCCGTGGCCAATCTAGATGCGCTTTTCCGCAAAAAAGCCCCGATTGCCATTTTCGCTATGGGGGCTTTTTTGCAGAAAACAAATCTGAGCTGTCTACCCTGGCCCTTTTGCGCAAATGTTTTGCGCAAAAGGGACTTTTGCCTGAACGGGAGCAGCACAGTATTTCCGCAAAAAGCACTGATTTCTTACAGTAGGAAGTCAGTGCTTTTGTGGAAATTCAAGCGGCCAGTGTAGACAGCTGGCAAGTTTTTCTGGAAAAGCGGCTGATTTTCCAGAAAAACTGGCCAGTCTAGACACAGCCTTGGTGTGTGAAATGTTGGTGTCCTCATTCCTGCCTCCCTCTCCCATCTCATCAGCCTCACTCAAAGAGCAGATAGTGAGTCAACAGCAGTCACCACCCCACTCTAGCACCTACTGCCCCAGATGACTTGTTCTCCCCTATTTGTTCATGGCTTCTGAGACTAAGGCTGTGGGGATACAAACCCAGCAGACCCATCTGTGACGTGCGAAGGGAGACAACAGGTTGGGTTGGGATGGGCTATGGAGGTGGGGATGGAGGAGCATGTGGCAGGCTGAAGGGTCCTATGGGAGTAGGCATGGATGGGGGAAAGGCAGAGTCAGGAGTGCAGGTTGCCATGGGTTGGGGGTGCTGAAAGGAAGAAAAGCGGATGGACCGGAAGGGTCAGGAGTGTGGGTTGGGATGGGAGCTGTTGGGGATGAAAAGCAGGGTGGCTGAGAGGGCATTAGGTGTGGAAGGATGGATGTAGGGGAAGGTAGTGAGGGGGGGCAGGTAAGGGATGTGAAAGTTTAACCACTTACATGGTTAGCTGATGAGCCCGGGGTTATTGGTTAACCTGCATGATTACACACAGCCCCAGCCCCAGCCCAGCTGCTGCCTCTGTATCTCTATCTGTATAGAGATGGGGAGATATCCCAGGATATCTGCAGATGCTCCTTGGCCCCATCAG